CTACTCGAACACGAGAAGTGGTCACAGAGAACCACCAGAAGGAAAGCTACGACGGGTACTAAAGCACATGGCATCAAGAAGGACGAGTTTGGGAGCTCAATCAAGTGCTTGTGGTGGGGCTGTTATTGTCAAGATGGTCGAGCCGGAGTCTTCCGCTTCCGCACGACAAGGTACTCCGAAAACGGGGAAGAAGCCAGTGCGATCGCCCAAACCATTTTTTCATTAATTTATGAAGCAACGTTATTAAAATTGGGGATCGATTAAATCCCAGCGAACACTACTGTGTCGCACCCTGTATCTAAATAGCCACAGTACGAAACGTTTCAGAAAATTAACATCGCAGCCACAAAGATAATGGCCCACACCACAAACAAGGCAAACCGCGAACTGATTGAAGCCTGAGCCTCCGATGAGAACTCAGTCAACAGATGTATCGGCCCAATGCCGGCATACAAAGCCCTACGCAGTCACCCCCGAAGTGAAGTGATTCGAGCAATCGAACCGCTTGCCCGGCTTATACATATATTTGGAAAGCGAACAGTCGCTCCGATTCGTAAAGCAATGAGTCTACATGCTCGAAGACATGAGAGGCGTATGTGACCAACGGGACCTCCTGTTCTTGTAAGGTCGAACCGTGTATTCACCCTTTCCGGGTAGTCTTTGAGGTCCGCGGACCTTTAAATCTTGCTTTCATGGGGAAGCGCCTAACCATTTTCATATCTCCTGTGCACAATTTTAGCTTTGGCCATTGCAACTCGGAACGGGGTCAGCACTTAAAATGTTGCAGCATGCGAGGCTCCAGGAATCCCACGTACAACGATTACCGCATATGCTTGACTAAATCATACAAGTCAAACGAAGATAAACTAGGCATAAATATAAGACGACCCAATCTAATGAGTCTCCCGTTCAGTACGCGCTGGAACCAGTGTTTGTGACTTTATGGTGGCCCATTGGTTTTCTGGAGGGGTCGCAGTAAGAATTCAAAAGAATCGGCAACTTCAGTAAAATATTAAATTCTGGAGAAAGTAGGTACAATTAGCGAAAACAGCGAGTCAGTGGAAGAACGGACTTTACAAAGTAAGGAAAACGGCTGAAAGTATGATGTGAAATAATTTCGCAGAAACTGTGATTGTCTTCTAGGATGTGGCACAACCAGGGTCTTCTGATTGGGTAGACGTCAGATCTGCCCCCTTCCCTGGCTGCTCTTTCCGAGACGGGTATAGAGTTGGCTGCAAATGGGCTGGCTTCGTATGAACCGAAGCCGGTTCTGGTCTTAAAGTTTGCCGAGAATCTGCACCGCGCTAGAAAATAAACACAGATTGTAAGGAAACGGAAGACTTCTAATCAGTATGGAATATGTCCATATTAAATATTAAACCATGTCAAAATAATGAAGATCGGTAAGAAGCCGGTTGACAAATAATTAAGAAAGTTAAGAAGACAAAAGCGAGTAGGCCAACAGTAACTGTTGAGCATCGGACTTATATTACGAAGACATTCAAACACCAACTTGGCCTACATAGGCTAAATATGGAGACGCAGCAAGACAGTATGTGCAAAGTGATAAATTTATAAAACTGCTTCTTCAAACGCAAGTAGTCATAGTTATAACTTGTAACACAGTTGGTAGAGAAAAAGGTTATGCAAGAGTTCAGGGTTAGTTATGAGGTTTACGAAGTGATGCAGAGGTGGGACAAGGCATATCGAGTTCTGAAGTTAATCTGAAAAAAACAGAACCTTATTGCGTTATCTGCGCATTGAACATATGCTAATGTAAAACTGACAGACCGAAGCCCCAATGCTATAAGTGAAATTCACACTACACTGTCTGTCGAATGGCACGCCAATTATATTCATTTCGACGGTGTCTGTCGATGCTCTCCATTAAATGGTGGCATTGCAGAGTACACTGCTCCGGTGTGTGGTTGACTGGTATGGTGG